AACAACAGCTCAACCTGGAGCTGGGCTGCCATGGGTCACCGGTGAAGGCGTGAGCTGCATTCCCTGTGGCAGTGGGTTGCCATGGGCTACCATGTATAGCCAGCAACCAGCGTGAGTGGCCAGCAGCCACCATGAGCGGCCGTCCAGAAACCGGCGACTGATCTGCCTCACCTGGGAAGAGTGAAATGATAGTGCCAGCTTGGGCCAGTGAAGCGACATCCTCCACAAAGCGAAGTCCTAGACTGACGAACAAAACACAACAGCAACTTGTCTGTTCCCCTTCCCCCGATTCCCCAATAAAATCTTTAAAAAAACAAAACAAAACTGGCAGGTCCATACAATAGAATATAATTCAGCTTTAAAAAGAAAGCAAATCGTAACACGTGCTACAACATGGAAAAACTTTAAGAACACTGTGCTAAGTGAAATCAGCCTGTCAAAAAGGCCAAACACTGTATAATTTCATTTGTATGGGACCTAGAATAGTCAAATTCATAGAGACAAAAGTAGAATGGTTGTTGCCAAGAGAGGGGATGAAAGGAGAATGAGGACTTGGTGTCTAATAGGTTCAGAGTTTCAGTTTTGAAAGATGAAATTAGTCCTGAGATTGATTTTATAATGTCAATGTCCTTTTCCCGACTGAACAACACACTTAAAAAATGCTGAAAATGTAAATTTTATGGTATTTGCATATTACCACAATTTAAAGTAAACATTTTAAAGCAAGTGAGTGAAAACACAACCCATAGAATGCAAGATTTTGCAAGTATATCCAATGAGAAAACCATATTAAAAACCTCCGAATACCTTTTATAATTAATTATAGAAAGCCAAATAACTCCATTTAAAAATGGCAAAAAATTAAATATACATTTTTCCAAGGAAGATACACAAATGGTCAAAAACACATGAAAAAATGCTGTTCAGCATTATTTACCCACGAAATGCTAAAGTGAAATGAAGTCATTAATCAAAACCTCAATGAGATAACCATTTCACAACCACAAAGATGGATAGAATCAATAAGTGAGAGAATAATGTTGTCAAGGACATATGGAGATATTTGAACACTCATAGATGGGTGGTGTGATATAAAATGGTGCAGCCGCTATGGAAAACCATTTGGATGGTTCTCAAAAATTAAATTTAGAATTATCATATGATTCTTCAATTCCTCTCACAGGTATATGCTCAAGAAAAATGAAAACACACGTTTGAACAAAAACTTGTACATGAAGTTTATAGCAATGTTATTCATCGTAGCTGAAACTATCTAAATGTACTTTAGTGGATGAATAAATAGCATGTGTTTTATCCATCCAATGTAATATTATTTAGCCATAAAAGTAAATAAAGTATTGGTACAACTATAACATGGATGACTTTGAAAAAATTATGCTATGTCAATTAAGTCAATCTCAAAGACCATAGATAATAGAATTTCTGTCCTGTGAAAGCCCCCAATAGGGAAATCTATAGTGATAGAAAGTATATAAATAAGGGGTTGCCTAGGCTTGGGGATTAGAGGAGAAAGATGGGAAGATTGGGAGTTAAAGCAAAAGAGTAGACGGTTTTTAATTTTTTTTGAGGTGATGATAATGTTTAAAAATAGACTGTAGCGGTGACTGCACATATGTGAATATACTGAAAAACTTTGAACTGTACACTTCAACGAGGTGCAGTGCATAGTATATGGATTATATCTCAATAAAAGATGTTCATATAAATAAATAAATGCATTAAGAGTTTTGCAATGCAAAAGTTTTGCAATCTAATCTCTCAGGCATATTAGTTTATGTAAATTAACACATCCATCACTTCACAAAGTTGTTTTGCGTGTGTAGTGAGATCGCTTAATTCACTGTATTAGGAAATTTCAAGAATATTGTACAGCATACGTATATCTAATCATCATGTTGTAATCTTTATAAACGATTTCATTAGTCATTTATACCTCAATAAAGCTGGAGGGGAGAAAAGTTTCCAGGTGTACCCCACAGTTACATAACCATTTATTGTTTTTCTTACATTATTAAAAACAGGAATCAATTGTCTTAGGGATATTTCAGTCGTTTGCATTTCAAAGTTCTCTAGGGACAAATGCAAAAAGTGATCTAAATCAAATTTTCTTCCAATGTAAAATGTACACCTGAAATGAACAAATCTCACACCCTGTGGTTAAGACTGAAAAGAATCCCTGAGCCCTGGCTGGGACAGCCGGGTTCCAACTTCCTACCAGAGCCAAGTGCACTGGGGTTATTTCTCTTAAGGACCGAATGGGTGGGGTCGGGGAATGCGTAGAAAGCTCAATGCTTGCAAAGATCAGAGATTAAAATGGAAACAGGATTTATTAAAGATGGTGCGGTCACACAGCAATATCTGTGTTTCTCAACAAGGGTGACACACAGTTCCATGAGTTGACTCACAGCTTTACCACCAAACCATTGTCGCTAGATGCCAGAAGACCCTCCTGTTCCAATGTGGCCTGGGCTACCTTCTTGTCTATATTTACCTGCTCCATCTGGAAACTAAATAGGAATTACCAGTGCACACCTGTGCCCTCGCTTTCACAAAGAGCTGGAGGGAAACAACACGGGCAGCCACAGGATTAGAAAAATCTGTTTATGCAAATATACCAGGCTGAGTCTGGTACCGTTCACTGGCGGAAGCGATTTCAGCAGAGCCAGAAGTCTCCCACCAGCTGTCACTCAGGCATGAGGAGGCGAGGCCTTAGGAACTGGCCAGTCAAGAGCGCAGCTGTGCCAGGTGGGTGGGGCTATGTTTCGCACAGGCATGGACGTTTCAATTCGTCCCTCAAGATCCTGTGTCGCGAGCCCTTAACGGTCCCTGCTGGCTCTGTCACAACCTCTGTCGCGCTGTGATCTACACTGGTCGTGGGAATCGTAGTAGGGACTCAGGGAGACCCCGGAAACCCAGAAATGGTGAGTGTTCTGCTCTAGGGTGAGGAAACAGGGATGAGGGGCTGATTGGAACCGGCCATGGCGGAACTCGGGCCTCCCCGCTGTCAAGTCGGAGTCCGCCACCGGATTGCGCCTCCGCCGGGGACGCCGCTCGGACTTCTGTCCCCTCCTGTACGCGGCGTGGGGGCTGG